ACTACAGGGAACCACACGAGTCATGATCAAGCGCTCATAGACATGACATATAGCTTTAGTGAATCATAAAATTACAAGCGATTATTACATCTTAGATGCGAATTGCATGGACACTATTACAAGAGTACGTTAAAAAATCTTATATGAAAGTCAACACCACTCAGCAATTCTTGAAAATTAGATTAGACACTAGAAGATCACGGAATACCGTTCATAATAAACTTCCGTGAAACACGTTTTCAGTCCATTGTTGCGGGTTTTTTGTACAGTCGTCGAACTTTTCTCTTTTTCTCGGTCCTCATCCCGTTTCTTTTGGATACAGTGTGACTGGAAATGTCCAAACTTCTGACAATAAAAACACCTCCCCATATTGCGACGATACGGAGCGGTACGAACGCCACCATTATCACTCGCATTCTGGCCGACGCCTTGAGATCGGCGCTGAAATCGTTTTTCAACTTTTGCCACGATATCAAAAACTCGTTCGTGGTCCTTATCACCGGGAAGGCGCAAGATCAGACTTCGAAATTGGTCAGAAGATACGTTCATTTTACTGCGCAAGGTCTGATACACCATACGATGGTAGGAATACTTAGCATGCTTCTGTTCTTGGGAAGCGTTATTGAGATTCTCCACCATCTCTAAAGCCTCATATTTATTAAATTCTGCCAACGGACGAGCAGAATAACTCATAATTCTATTGGTAATATTCTCCACCGACGCTTTAGTTAGTAATTCGACACTCTAGCGTAACGTTTTTACCTCCGCTTTCAAATTCTAAGTAAAGCGAAAAACACAATTAAGATAGCTTCCGATATAACTCAAAAGCACTATACCTTACACGGTGAACCACATCGGTATGTACATGCAACAGTATACGTGGCGACATAATATAAAGCCTAGGACATGGATAGCAAAACAAATTCATCAGGGTCATGGCCAAGCAAACAAAAAGAAAGATCGCCAGCCATAGCCAAACCCATTAAGCTCTCAATTCAGAATAAATCACATCGGTAAGTAGCCTATTGTTGTAGAAACAAACACAAAATCACTGATGTCAAATTAATATTATCCCATGCAGATAAAAATTATTACCCACATTCACATCGTGGCAACCCCCACGAAATTTGACAGAATGTCGGCAGTGAAACTACCGTCGTCGCTAATGCTGTGGAACTCCACACTATTGTTACGGAACATCTCGTCGCGGATGAGACCACACCCCTAATGCACTGTCGGGGAACCTCACGCAAAAGTTGACGAAAATCTCGTCCGAGGCGGAAGGACAACCTCCCTCAATTTGTGGAAACCCACACAAATGTTGACGAAAATCTCGTCCTTGGCAAAATGATACCCCTCTCACAAGTTGTGGCAAGCCACACAATTCGTGACGCAAATCGCGTCCTTGGGGAAATTACACCCCTCTCTCAATTTATGGAATCCCATACAATTATGGACGAAAAATCCCGTCCTTGGTGAAACTACACCCGCTTTCAATTTGTGGAAGCCACACAATTGTTGACGAAAAAATATCGTCATTGGTGAAGCTACATTCCTCGTTCAATTTGTGGAAACCCACACAATTGTTGATGAAAATCTCGTCATTGGTGAAACTGCACCCGTCTTTCAATTTGTGGAAACCCACTAATTGACGAAAATCTCGTCATTGGTGAAACTACACCCGTCTTTCCATTTGTGGAAACCCACACAATTGTTGACGAAATCTCGTCATTGGTGAAACAACACCCGTCTTTAATTTCTATTTTTGGAAACCCACACAATTGCTGACGAAATCTCGTCAATTACGTATTTGTTTTCATTATTTCCATAAACTGATATATTTTTCTATCGTGCCTTGCAAACAAATAGCTATTATGTCGGTCAATATGCAGTGTATGTAAACTTTTGACCACAACTGTATAGTTAAAACTATCTTTTTGAAGACGATTTTGAAGATGTGGCATGGCCAACAGGAAACAATAGGTGGACTCATGCAACTTGGAAGAAGCCTAGCGGCAAGATTACTTCTCGTGATTAGTTTATGATATAGATTCTTCGGTGCCATTCTCCTTGAACCAAAAGATATTCTCAAAGCGTTCCAATTCTAAACAGCTGTCTCATCCACGCACCACCCTCCCCCTCCCCCGACTGAACGCATGTAATAAAGGTATGATAAAGAATTTGTAATTGAACATTCCAAATAAACAAAATAAATTTAATTTCGGAAAATACGAATTCATTCAATCCATTTTTTCGATCAACTTTCAAATGTGGCTTAGTGACTGCCTGAAATATTTATTAAGAGGCTGTTTATATGATCCCGGTTACCCGAGATTCAACGAAGCGTGAGATGATTTTGAGGTATTGAAATGAGCAGATGCATGATCCTGACAGTCGTATAATCACCACAACAATAGCATGTGCTTATTTGGTGTCAGAAAGACTTATTTCAATGCCTCAAAGTCCTCTCACGCTTCGTTGAATCTCGGGTAACCGGGCTCATGTAAACAGCCCCTAAGAAAACTTCTCGAAATTATTATATTATGCAAAGTCACACATATGTAAATCTAATAGTCCAAAGATAGTTACATTCAATTCCTATGAAAATGTGGCAGGAATAACAGTGTAACGTAACGGACACACGTTGAGGTGTTTCTAACGACCGGTTTGAACAAAGAGAATTTACATCCCAACTAATTCGCATCGAAAACTTGAATGCATGCCCTATAACTTACAAAAGAAGATGTCGGGATTCTTGATCTCATGCATGGGAAGAATTTGTGGAACTGGGTGGCTTACAACTCGGTAATTAGTCATTATTATGCTTGACATTTTGATTTAATTAAACCTTAAACTCAGTGGCAGATTCAGCGTTAGCGAAATAGATTACTGCATGCAGCCAATCCTAAATTCATAGTACCTGAATAACGATGCAACTGAATATCGATTACGAATTTTCAAAGGATATTTAAAAACTCACACCTTTCGGTGCATTTATAATTTCACGTCCTGCTCCCATGAACATGCAGGCTTCGGAATATAGAGTTATGGGAAACACAAGCGTATCGTCGATTCCTTTTCGTAATCAACTTCCTGTGTCTTCTGCATACGTTGAGTTCCCCTCTTGAATGTTGTGACCTTGCACACTCTTCCCGAACTTTTACTCCTTCCGATATCCAAGCTCAAACCGTCCTATGTTGATTATGTCTCGTTGTTCACAAATCAGCTCTGTAACTGTTGATATTAAAAAGTTTTTCATCGAGTTTAAAATTTCATATGCTTAAATCGTCAATAGCTTCGCTGATTACGAAATGTACAAAATTTTCTCTGTTTACACTCCAACGAAATCCAATTCACGAGCAGGTGTAAATGTTTTACTTTAACATCGTGTGTATGTGAACGTCATGATATAAGTGCGACCCAGACAGTCAGGATAATGATAAATTATAGCGTTGCTGAACTTAGGAACCCCCATCAAGTACAATAGTCGGGCCCTACCCGTTTGCCTGCCTTCCTCTAAACTTCCTGCAGGCACGCAATGTTGGGTGACAGGCTGGGTTGCCTTGGAAGAAGATGGTCACGGCCCAGGGATCTTGCTAAAGTACCTCTCGTTAGTAAGCAAAGCTGTTATGTTTACGGTTCGCTCACATCGAGCATGCTCTGTGCTGGCTACCACACTGGGAAGATTGATTCCTTTCAAGGGGACAGAGGGGGGCCATTGGTCTTCGTGTGAACAGAAGGTGGCATCTGATGGGCACTGCGAGCTGGGGGATTGGTTGTGCTAGTAGGGGGTATTATGGGATATTTAACAGTTAGACAACGAGTCCGAGTTGCTTATGAGAGAATAGGCAACGAAGGCGAAGCCTGAGTTGACTATTCGCTCATGCATAGACAACGAAGGCAAGTTGTCTAATTGTTGTAGTATACACCCTGTACATAGATATATTAATTTCGAGAAAATAGTCGATAAACCGCAATTACACCAAAAATAATTTATTTAATTCAATTTTGTACGGTCGCGCGAGCGAATTTTTTCCAAACGTTCACCATCACGAATAGACAATGGTTGAGTAGCAAATCAGAATGTTTGGTTTCTAATACAGCAATAGTCGGGTGTATACTAAATGCTGATATTGTGCACTTCAAAAGCTGGATAAGTAATGTGAGGTAACGTGGTCATATTGTCATAATAATTAATGTTTGACACCTTGTGCTTTTTGTGGTTTTATGTTTTTGGAATTTTACATAGCGTCTGCAGCGATTTTTTATGTACGTGGTATAGCGATCAAGAATCTATTCCAGTTCTTTTTACTATGTTAAGAAGTTATCCACGCGTGGAGATTACACACTTTATTTTTCGTTTGCTCATGTAGAGTTACATTGATTACACCTTATTTTTCTCCCAGTGATATATTCTTATAATTATATATGTACTTACAATATTAGCTTATACTAAAATCGTTTGCTGATAACTACTTATAAATATAGAGAGTATTAGCCTAAACAATGGCTGATATACGTTTACAATTACAATTTATGAATCGTATGTGGTTATATTTATGCTATTAAAACTTGTTGCTTGACAATTACAAATTATCGTTGTCGATATATTTATACAGATTACGAATTGTCGGGTACTGAAATACTTAACGTTTTATAAAATACTTATTACTTATGCTATTACAGATTATCGTTATATACTGTTATACTGATACAGAAAAGTACAAAATGAAATAATATAAAGATGTGGATTACCGTTTCGTGCTAAGCATTTACTGCATGCCAGACATAACGTCACTTTGCACATATAATTATTCAGAGTGATTTCCACATCTACCCAAGCAAGGTTTTACAGAACTTGCCAGTGCCTCCAAACTGGATTTCAAATTAGGGCAGTAATAGACGCCTTTGTGAATGTTACTAAGGTAGGCGAATGGTATCTTCTTGCCATCCTCACAGATAATATACACCAAAGACCCTGAGTCGTTTTTTTTCGCAAAGATGTTATCGTCAGACACGTCTTTTATGCCATAAAAGCCGTCATTCATTCCGTTTTTGAATCCCGCATCTTTTTCAACCAAATTTCCTCTTCTATGCCCAATTTCAGGACTAAATATTCCAACCGAAACTGGTCCATTCATGTTTTTTAATTTCTCAGTGACTACCTCTTCAGTCGCCAAAGTGTCCTCAATACCCGCGTCGTTCAGGAATTTGACCGCATCGTTGCAGTCCAAATATCTATCAAGTTCGATGAGGGCAATATCGTTCTTGTCGTTGTATAAACCACAATAAAATTCACCAAGCCTTCGAGGTTCATCTCCTTGGTACTGATATTTGTATCCAAAACATCCCCTGGCGTCATTTTCGCAGTCTGTCTTCAGTTTTTGGTGTTGTTGGTATAGGTCTCCTGATAATTCTCTTTGGTAACAAACGTGATAGCAGGTGATTGCGTAGTGTTTCTGTCCGCGTAAATCCCCAAAACCAAGAATACTTATTTTTCCACTGCCTCTATTTTCCCCATTTGTAACATGATGCGGATCTCCTGATCTTGGTCCTCGAAGAAAAGCAGATCTACTGTTTTTATCGACTTTTTCTTCGATGAATTCGACAAAACAGGAGATATTGTTACCAAATATTTTCTGCAGTTGATCCATGGACGGTAGTGAGTTTTCTGAGTGGGTGATGTATATTTTCCACGTTCGATCCTTTTTGCCATCAAAACCAACATGGAATTTTTCCACTCCGGGTAATCTAAGAACCGTATAAAAGAGAAAAAAATTAAGTTCAATCTTTGTCAAAAAATTGTTTTTAGCTAATTGAAAAGAGCTCTTAGACTAAAAATTAAAAAAATTGGTAGTTCTTTCCGCAAATCTAACGTATATCGAACGTATTCTAAGATGATCATGTGCACAACAGCATTTCTTGATGATAGGATTTCACCTTCATCGTTGTTTACCTTAACAAATCTTCCTTGTATTCTTTCTTAATGTTGGATTTTTCGTCAAATATGTTTGTTTCAAACCACTCATTCTTTGGAACTATTGAATTTATACATAATAGTTTAGTATAAATATTAGCGTACGGCGTGATTAAGTTTTATTTGAAAGCGAGTTAGTAAAAACAGTGTGTTAATTGTTAATTCACGGCAAACCGGATGTATGATTCATACATCGTCGCGATCCAACGTTTTGACACCCAAGTCTTGTGTATTTTCATGAAAGTGCATGGGTTTGGTATTGTTATTAAGTGTAAATATTTGTAGGGATTATTCTACCACGTGAGAAAAATTATGTATTCAGTAGAAAGATTAATTGCTGAGCTAATAATAGCTAACAATGCAGCTTACCGCTTCGCTTGCTACTTTTGTCCTTGTTGATATGTTTGATATCATAACGATGATCAGTTGAAAATAAAACAAGAAAGCGTTAAACGAAAGTTTTATTAAATAAATTGGTAATACATTAAACAGCTTAAGTGGGTTTATATAAGACTATATAAGCGTGCATGAATGCAGTAGCTACGGTAACTATAAATTTTACCTCTTCTAAAGCTACACTGTTGCCTCACGCTTGCATTAACTGTGATTAACTGTGATATAGGTTTGTGCCCTATGTAAAAAGTTACGTTTATCATCAAGTTATATTTAGGTAAAAATGGTAAAATTGGATAATATGCATCCAGTTTAGAATCGGTTGTCTATAATAAATCACATGGTATAACTTTGCTATATATAGTATTCCGTATCAAATCACGATTTTCCATCAAACAACCTATCGGGTCCACCTTAACTAGCTATATACAGGATTTTAATCTTGACGAAAACAAATTGTGAAAATTTATTTAGTGATATTAGTGCTTAACTAGTTACTAATCTACAATGCTCCCTGAAATATGTGGTTACAAGTTTATGACATATAAACCGCAACATCTGCTAAAAGAACCACAAAAAAATTTCGTCCACACTTTTCTCAACATTTTTGATGAAAATTATCAAGGTAGATAAAAAGCAGCGTTGATGTTATTAAGCGGTTTGACAGCATCGAAATTTATCGATGTTGTTCAGCCAATTATCACCATATCCACGATATAGACCAGTGATATAATAACCAGCCTTGGAACAGTTTGACCATCCTTCTTGATTAAACGATGTTCCAACATCTTCATCATAACACAATCCATATCGGTTAGGATGATTGTTTGGTTTGCAACAATAGCCTTGTTCGATTCGATGTAATTCATGTAACACGTCGTCGCCATCAGCATTGCGATATAACCCATTTAGAAAATAACCCACTGGACAAACGCTCGATTTGTTATTCCTTCACATAATGGAAGTAAAAATATTCAGAAATTAATGTCCTCATCAACTGCATGTGTTTTATATGATGATGTTATTTGAATAAGTTTTTGCCTTCGAAATTCGATTGAGATTTGGGAATGGCGTCAAATGGAGTCACATGGATATGTAACCGTGTGATTCGCTATAATATATATATATATATATATATATATATATATATATATATATATATATATATATATATATATATATATATATATATATATATATATATATATATATATATAGCTCCATTGTTATATTGTTATGAAGGGAACAAACACAGAAGTTCAGACTTGGTTAATAAACGATTTATATTTAAATTTCCAATTATACCATTGTTGAATCACATAAAAAGCTAAATACTCACGTGTCGAAAGAGCTCCACCAGTCAGCTATTTGACACTGGCTATTCTGACCGCTGCACGCTTTGCAACTCGCTTTAGGGATCGCTTTACAACATTTTGCTTTTTCAAGTAAAGTGATGGGATCGCTGTCGCTGTTCGGAGGACCTCTATAAAGTCCCGTGATAAAGAGATTTTCCTCGCCACATTTCGACCAACCCATACTGTCAACACTTTGCGACCAGTCCACATGAGAACATGCTAAAGGAGTCGTTGAAAGATGATGTCAAATACGATTTCGGTCATGCAAGCTGGTGTATGTAATCTATAGAAACGTGCTCGCGCAGGGAAATCAGATAGAAAATTTTATATGCATGTACAAAGTGAATCTTAGTTTATTTGAGATAATATAGCCAAATCATGTTTTCCAGTTTTTTTACCTTTTATAGCAATGCACTTACTAGATCAAGGGCCGCGGAGTCAGTTAACGTTGAAAGTCTGGATGATAGCCGGGGGGGAATGAATGATTTGGCCGCTCGCATTTCTTTTATTTCATTAAGTTGTAAATATTTTGTAGTATTGCATTTTAATGAATAATGTACTGATTTCACAGCCGCGGCAATAGATGCGTTCCGAAAAATATCGAGTAATTCATCTGCACAAATTTATCAGGTGGCTTTAAGGAGTTCATCAAATATTTGAAAAACTCCTAACTTCCGTTTCCCATTCGAAACCGGAAGTTAGGAGTTTTTCAAGAAGTTTTTCAAATATTTGACTCTCCGTAACTGTTAAAATTGAGCAAATGAATTATACTCGATATTTTTCGGAACGCATCTATTGCCATGTAATAAACAATTGTGTATGTAAGATAGCAAGGCTTACTTGTTGATTGTTGTGGTGTCGTAGAGTTGGCTGGGGTTGGATCTAATGGTTTCTAAAAATCAATGTAAAAAGCAATAATTTTTTGAAAATTTGATTTTTCCTAGTATCACTTTATACTCAAGCAGAAATAGTTTATAGACATTCGTCGCGAAATTGTTTTTGTTATTTTTCTGGTAGCAATTATGCCAACAGTTGCCCATTTAACATTGCAAATTTGACTGGGAGAAAAAAAAAATAGGGATTAAATTTAGTTTGAAAAAGTTGGCCGTTTATTTCAGAAATTCACTTTATTAAATTAATCGATTAATTCTTTGTACGTATCGGAATTGCCTGAATATGAAGATAGCTAGTTATTACATTTTGTTAACCGTGATACCGTTACACTTTAGGAGACAAGTTTCATTTATTATGAATGACTTGGATACTGGCGTAGCCAGCATGACGATTTTGTCCCAATATGTAAATTTCGAGTTATTACTCATATCTTTAAAAATTCATTGATTTCGCAGTCAATGAACACCAAAATATTAGCATTGCGGGACAAATTGTCTGGCTTGCTACGCTGTAACTTTGGATATCATGCAACTTAGATTTTTCATTGGCTTCAGATAGATGTCTTTAAACAAAGTGAAGCTAAGAAAAAGGAAAGTTCATAAACAACAATTTTTAACGACGTCTTGAGAACAAATGGAAGAAAATTTTCGTTTGAGAAATTTCTTACCGCGTACATAAACAATTGGCCTGAATCTCGCTACTTAATGCGATCAAAACAAATCAATACGTTGATTCCCTTTCCAAAATTTCATTTTCTTCTGGCGGACAATTTGCATAGCTTTTTGTGATAAATGCAGATTGGTTACGTAATGTGCATACTTACCCCATTACAATCGACCAGTATATAATAATCATATTCCTCATCTTCAGTCAGCTGTTCAGGAGATTTTTCCGAATAGACCTCTGTCAGTAACTGACAGTTTTGTATTTCTTCACAACTTCTCTGTTTTTTGAAGTTGACAGATCTACATCCATTTTTTGCTGCACATTTCATAGCGCATTCTGGTCCCGACTCGGCGTGAATAATTTCGATAGGTTCAGCGTTCAAACGATAGCCTTTAAAATTACAAAACAACGTGTAAGATTTAGCTTTAGTTGTGATTGATAATTACATGCTTTTGTTTGAACAAATTTACTCACATTGTTATGTTTATAAGGTTAATAAACACGGTTCTAAACCAGCCTTGTTCTATTGAACAGCTGCAAACGAATCCCAAAGCTTACCTTCATTTGATCCATCGAAGCAAAAGTCATACCCATGAACAAAAGGTTGGAGATATAAAAATATCAACAATAGAAACATGAATCTCAAAAACACGATAGGCAAACATGAAGCTTGTATCGAATTTGAAGCCATGACAGCATTATCCTAATTAATTCTAATTTTGTATGTTTGTGTGCCATATTATTATAAACAACTATAATATATTCACTCTCTTTCCCTTGCAAAGGAGCACTAATTATCTGTGTTTTCATTAACTTGCCTTTAAAGAGCAATTGCCACCTGTGCAAGAGTTAACATACGTAATGAGGTCACGTTTTCTCGCATGCGCATAAATTCTGTTTTTCGTAGAAAATTTAATATCTTTTAACAATTCTATACCTGTTTTTTTCTCACGACTTTTTCAAAGCAATCGACATGCAAGTATGAAACAAACTGTCAGGAAAAAGTTGTAAGAAGCTTGTGAATTATCAAAGACTTGCTCACAAGGCTGTTCCAATAAGAAGATCGTTTATTAATTATTTTACACTTGTTATCATGCAAGGCTGTTCCAATAAGTCTTGTACAAACTTTATATAACAATATCTTTACAATTTTTTTTCAAAATATTTTACCGTTTAAGGTCGTTGCATGGGTACACGTGAATTTAATACTTAATATAAATGCAACTAGTAACGGTCTTTTCTTTTTTGCCTTGTCCCTTAACCTGCCTTTTATAGCAAATGTGTTTGAGTGTGCGTAAGTTAGCTTTTATACAATATACAAGCGTTTTAATGCATTTTGCAAAGGCGTTCATGTAAACCTCAACAAAAATTATTATTGTCATTCATAGTAAACATTGTTCACTATTTATCGCAAAATTTCAGATTAGTGATTCTTTACCTGGATAATTTGATAACATCAAAATTTACAGGTTTCTTTTTACAGTCTTTACGTACACAATAAATTTCTGTGCATTAACGAGGTTTCTGGATTATAATTCCAGATTCTAGCTTAGTTCCCGAAATAGTTCTGATTCTGAATACCGTATTGTATCGGTACAGTATATTCATATTGTTAAGTGTTTGACAGCATCGAAATTTATCGATGTTGTTCAGCCATTTACCAGATCCTCGATAAAGACCAGTGACGTAATAACCTGCCTGGGAGCAGCTTGACCATCCTTTTTTATTAAAATATGTTCCAACATCTTCATCATAACACGATGCATACTTGTCAGGATGATTCTTTGGTTTCCAGCAATAACCTGCTTCGATACCAGATAATGTGCCGGCTCCAATGTTGCGATATAACCCATTTAAAAATAACCCAGAGGGCAAACATTCCATTTGTCATTTCCTATGTTTAGAAGACATTAACGCGGATGTATAAAATACATTCTGTGGCATTTTGGAGGTCCGGCAATTATTAACAATCAATGTATTATTTACAATATATTATTTCAGGAAGTTATATGAATTAAATACATGGTGCATCTATAGCTATAATTTTGCGCAGTGATTTGCATATTTAAAAAAGGTTTTAGTAGTTTTCGTCTCTAAACTTTAGCTTAATCAAAAAGAAATTTAACGATTTTCATTGATAAACACAATTACGTCGTTTTCTTTCCTAATCTTTTTTCTGTTTTCCGTGCAAGCTCTATAATTATCCAGAGAGTAGATTTCACAATCCTCAAAAATACGTATGCAGCACATGTATAAACAAATTATATTATACCGGAATCGTATAAAATATTTTACTTACTTGTCGAAAGAACTCCACCAGCTAGCTTCTTTACACTGGCCGTTCTGACCGCTGTACCCAGGTATCGAGTTACAACATCTTGCTTCTTCTAGTAAACTGATCGAATCGCTGCCACCTTTGAGGGGACTTCGATAAAATCCTGTGATAAGAAGATTTTTTGCGCCACATTTTGACCAGATCAATGGAATGTCAAAACTTCCCCACCAGTCCGCATCAGAACATGTTAAAGGCATCGCTAAAAGTTGAAGTTAAAAGTGTTTTGCGAAGTTTATAAGGTAATCATGATTTCATGCGCTTGGGTACCTTAGAAATAAAAGATTTCAGAGAGGAGGTGTAAAATGACTAAAATTAATAATGGAAAATTGTCGTAGGGCCGGTTGTATAAAATTCTTTAACTACATTTTGCATAGTTTAATCCTAGTTAACTCAGAAGTTAAAGTTTAAAACTACTATTTTATACAACCAACCATGCAGCCCCGGTTGTTAAAACCTGCATTAGCGATCCGTAAACTATAGATTATAAAAAATACATGACTTTATAAAAGAAGTTTACAATAAAAATGCCCCGACGCGGTTAGGGAAAAAATAATAACACGATTAGTTACTTGTTGGTTGAGGTGTTGAACTCTTTGTTTCTGCCGTTGTGGATGAAACTAAATGAAAGCACGATAGCTTATTATGCAGTAAAAATTACTTTTAAGTATACGGGTTGCTGTCCAAATTACTCGGAGCGAAGGAGATATGGAAGCATAAACAAAGCCGATAAGCGATTAATCATTATGTATAATTATTGTAGATAGCGTTACCATTCTATTAAAAGTTGTGTTTTTTTGGTATTACATTACATTGTGGACTTCCTAGGACTTACTTGTCGACTGTTGTTGTGTCAGAGAGCTTTGTGTCGTAGAACCTAGTAGCTTCTTGAAATCAATATAGAAAAGAAACGAAAATCTCCTTAAAAGGAAATAGCAATATATTTTTTATTTTCTCATTTGAAAGAACTTTGAAAACTAAATTTAATTCTCTTTTTCCGTTTTTTTATATCTTCCTCACTTCTACAATAATTTTGATCAAAAGGAATGAAATATCAGCCATCTTGGATAATTTGGTGACGTCACAACAGGGGTTAGCCATATAAAAGTAATCGTTGCTAGCCAAATATTGATTTGTAGATGTTTTAAAGGTGTTGAGTGATCTTGATATTTCGAAGAGCATATAGAGTATAGTTTTGAGTGCAAAATGATTAGTGGTTGTCGAGATAGAAATATTGCGTAACGTAATGTTGTAACGTAACTGCATATCTACAAAAATCCAAGATATTTCATTCCTTTCGATCAAAATATTTGTAGAGGTAAGAAAAATATGTAAAAACGGTAAAAGAGAATTAATAAAGTTTTCAAAGCTCTTTCAAATGAGGAAATAAATAAAAATATTGCCATTTCCCTTTAAAACTGAATGTGAATTCACTACTCATGCATATCGAAAAAGTATGATATATATATATATATATATATATATATATATATATATATATATATATATATATATATATATATATATATATAATATATATATATATATATATATATATATATATATATATATATATATATATATAGGCTTTTATTATGTACACAGACGCCGGATATGAGCTCATGCCAACTGATTGGCTCTCTCGTAAACAGATATTTGCTCGTACCTGTCTAGTAGAAAAACGTAAACAAAATGGTGACAAGATTCGGTGAGTAAAGCGATGATTAAATTCAACGGGTTTTTTTATAAAAGTGAACCAAAATGCATGCACCGAAAGGGCGACAAAATTTGAAATAAAATTATTCAACATACAGTAGGCTGAAAACTATAGGTTTACAAAATATATTAATACGGTTTGACAAAATAACAATTAGCTTTTAAAATGCTGGAAAAAACACGATACGGGATTTAATTACTGTATCCAACCTTTTTTTTAAAAAGTGTGTTCACTATTGTTCAAATTACGAATAAATTTGAAAGTGGTTTTTCAGCGCTTGTGTATATAATAAAACTGTTATTCTGCTCACTCTCGTCGTATATGACTAATGATATACGATTGCAAAACAACTGTTAAATATATCTCTCGCGTTGGGTCTGGTGTTTTATAGATGCACTTGCCAATGATCAAATAGTAGGGTAACTGGAACACTTATATATGCGGCCCAAATAATTTCTAATGAGTCTACTCAACAGTTATTTTTTGCAATAATGTTTCGGGTAATATGAGTTTTCGGAAGGTTAATTTACCGCTATTAAAGCACCTGCAGAATTTTGATATTTTATATTTTACATCGGCAGACTCTTTGGTGCATAACCATGCTTTAGTTATGATGTCAAATATTTTGATGTCAAATATTTTGACATGGATAACCACGCTGTTTTAATGGTCAAATGCTTGTCCAATTTAAAGTTTTTAGCATGTTTGGCGCTCATATACAAACATTAAACAATATACCCATGCTTTGGTTATGATGTCAAATATTTTGACATGGATAACCACGCCGTTTTTATGGTCAAATGCTTGTCCTATTTAAAGTTTCCAGCATGTTTGGCGCTCATATACAAACATTAAATAATATAACCATGCTTTGGTTATGATGTCAAATATTTTGACATGGATAACCACGCCGTTTTTATGGTCAAATGCTTGTCCTATTAAAGTTTCCAGCATGTTTGGCGCTCATATACAAACATTAAATAATATAACCATGCTTTGGTTATGATGTCAAATATTTTGACATGGATAACCACGCTGTTTTAATGGTCAAATGCTTGTCCTATGTAAAGTTTCCAGCATGCTTGGCGCTCACATACAAACATTAAACAATATAACCATGCTTTAGTTATGATGTCACATATTTTGACATGGATAACCACGCTGTTTTAATGGTCAAATGCTTGTCCTAAATTTAAAGTTTTTAGCATGTTTGGCGCTCATATACAAACATTAAACAATATAACCATGCTTTGGTTATGATGTCAAATATTTTGACATGGATAACCACGCCGTTTTATGGTCAAATGCTTGTCCATTTAAAGTTTCCAGCATGTTTGGCGCTCATATACAAACATTAAATAATAACCATGCTTTGGTTATGATGTCAAATATTTTGACATGGATAACCACGCTGTTTTAATGGTCAAATGCTTGTCCTATGTAAAGTTTTCAGCATGTTTGGCGCTCATATACAAACTTTAAACAAGATAACCATGCTTTAGTTATGATGTCACATATTTTGACATGGATAACCACGCTGTTTTAATGGTCAAATGCTTGTCCAATTTAAAGTTTTTAGCATGTTTGGCGCTCATATACAAACATTAAACAATATAACCATACTTTGGTTATGATGTCAAATATTTTGACATGGATAACCACGCTGTTTTTATGGTCAAATGCTTGTCCTATTTAAAGTTTCCAGCATGTTTGGCGCTCATATACAAACATTAAATAATATAACCATGCTTTGGTTATGATGTCAAATATTTTGACATGGATAACCACGCTGTTTTAATGGTCAAATGCTTGTCCTATGTAAAGTTTCCAGCATGCTTGGCGCTCACATACAAACATTAAACAATATAACCATGCTTTAGTTATGATGTCACATATTTTGACATGGATAACCACGCTGTTTTAATGGTCAAATGCTTGTCCTATGTAAAGTTTTCAGCATGTTTGGCGCTCATATACAAACATTAAACAATGTAACCATGCTTTAGTTATTATGTCAAATATTTTGACATGGATAACCACGCTGTTTTAATGGTCAAATGCTTGTCCAATGTAAAGTTTCCAGCATGTTTGACGCTCATATTATACAAACATTAAATAATATTACTATGCTTTGGTTATGATGTCAAATATTTTGACATGGGTATAACCACGCTGTTTTAATGGTCAAATACTTGTCCTATATAAAGTTGCAAGCATGTTTCGTGCTCACATACAAAAATTAAACAATATAACCATGCTTTGGTTATGATGTCAAATATTTTGATGTGGATAACCACGCTGTTTTAATGGTCAAATGCTTGCATATGTAAAGTTTCCAGCATGCTTCGTGCCCATATAGAAACATTAAACAATATATATAACCATGCTTTGGTTATGATGTCAAATATTTTGAAATTGATAACCATGCTGTCTTAATGGTGAAATGCTTGTCATATGTAAAGTTGCAAGCATGTTTCATGCCCATATTATAGAAACATTAAACAATATTACCATACTTTGGTTATGATGTCAAATATTTTGATATTGATAACCGCGCTGTTTTAATGGTCAAATGCTTGTCCTATGTAAAGTTTCCAGCATGTTTGGTGCTCATATACAAACCTTAAACAATATAACCATACTTTGGTTATGATGTCAAATATTTTTATATGGATAACCACGCTGTTTTAATGGTTAAATGCTTGTCCTATGTAAAGTTTCCAGCATGTTTGGCGCTCATATACAACATTAAAAAATATAACCATGCTTTATCAGGTCAAATATTTTGACATGGGTCACCATGCACGCTGTTTTAATGGTCAAATGGTGCGACGAATATATTTTCATTATGACTTTGAAAAGGGATTTAGGTAGGAATAAATAAATGTAGCTTTTAACACAAAGCGCTAATGCTCTAGTAGCTAATCCTTGAAGAACTTTCTTTTTTATGGTAATTGCAATTTGCAGACATGCGTCGTGCATGTGCGTGTACTATCTTTAATTATCTACGTTTGTGATGTGTGCACGTGGTTATTTCCCCACTATGTGCACTAGTACTATTGCATTAAATCAACAAAATTTTAAATGTTCTTTATTCACTTAATTTCTTAACTAAATCAATCTGTTTAGCTTATATTATACGGTTACTAAACATACTTAAACGCTGTGATATATACTAAGCTTTCGGCTTTTGGAGTCGCATCCACTGCGTGACACACCAATCTATTGGTTCTCGCTGTCTTGTCCTGTTTCGAGGAAAGAGGCTCCTCTTGCAAGTTTGTCTATGGCGCCGTAGTTTTTAGTTTCTCGCATGTCTTAAGCGGAAGGATTGAATTATGAAAGGAATGTTTTTCATTATGAACTTGAAAAAAGGTTTAAGTAAAATAAAAATAACGTCAGTTATCCCAAGAGCAAATAGTCTAGAGGTCACGAGAATAGTCTCGCAACTTTCATGTTGATGGTTCGAATTCTGGGTGGTGAAAGTGTTTTATCATGACGTAAAATTTGGGTAAGTTAGAAAAATATAGCTGTTGATTTCAAGATCTGTTGGCCGAGTGGCAAAGACAATCGTCGCGTAACTCGCGTTATTACGTCGCGAGCTCCCATGAATACATGAATGATGCCTTCCCTCAATTATCGATGCTAACTACGCCACTGCCACGTGGAATTTCTTGGCAACAATAAGGAGTGAGTAATGATTCTAAGGTTTAGCACTAATATCTGGAGTGGTGAATTGAAAATTCGCTGTTACTAAGTGGCGATTAGAGACATTCAAATAACTTCTCCATTTCTTTTAAAGTTTATAATTTTTTCACTATGTGGTTAACAAGAAACGTCAAGTAGTTCGACGACGAAGATTCACAGTCGTTCTTGGTCTTCACAACAGATCTCAGGAGAACGAGACTCAAGTTAAAGAGATGCACATTGGTCAGATATTCGAGCATAGGGATTATAATCCAACCACCTTCCAGGCTGATCTTGCCTTACTACGACTGACCCATCCAGTTATTTCTGCACATCATTTACGAAATTTACAATATATAATATTGGGAGTTAACGCTTACTTGTGGGGGCGTCACAAGTATTTATAGTCACAACCAAGCCAGTTGATAACACAATCATTGTTTTTTCCTTTAGAATTTAAGTTGAAAGTAAGAAGTAGATCATCAAGTTGGTACGAACTCATTTAAACATTTGAACTCCAATCATGCAAACATGCTTTTCTGCCTGGGAAAAATGTGCTGAAAAGGTCATTTCACACGAAAATTTATTGTCGCAATCACGGTATCTCCCGTAGTGCTTTTGTAGAGTCGATCAAAGTAGCGCGGGGAATTATTTCATTTAGACTTGCTCTGCGAACATTTTATACTCCCTATTTTACGAATAGGACATCGCTGAATTTAATATTGGGGGATACATATTGTATAAAACGTCACATAAATTGAGGTTTGTTTTGCATACACGTTCAAACTTGTTTTGCTGAATACATTAGACGGTGACGGATGACCTTGTAGACTAAGTCGTTGTTATTACAGTCGAAATACGAGTGACATTCAGAAGCAACGTATTACATTTTTGCAAAATGTTTCTTAAAAATATAATTCAAAGTTTTATACTGCATACTGTATGCAGTTTAGGTATGTGCATTACAGGGTAAAGGTTAGAGTTATAAGCACTCGTGCAGAGCCTAGTTTGATCAGTGCATGGAATGTCATTAAGACATCCTGAAGATAGGTATGCAATTCGAAAAATAATTGCACAAAACGATCATACAAAATGACGTCTGCACGTTTTGAGATACTTGTTAATAATTTTGTGGCATGCATTTCACAGCATTCACTGATTGTGTGGGCGTGAGACGATTTTATTCATTTTGGAAAGTTTATCTTTTTCAAAAAATAATGCAGCCATTACAATCATGACACTTGAAATAAATGAGTGGCGAAAAATACGAATTACTTCGTAGGTATTTGAAGGCATTATATATATCTTGCACAGAACAACAAGACCAGTAGACCGCAGAATCAGCATGATAAATTTCTTGTTATATATTATAATCTTCCTCGTTTAGAAGATGAGTTAAAAACTGAAGAATATACCATCAAGTTGGTGAGCAATTGATTAATCTATTTGGGTATGTTTTATTAGTTTTGACGCGTGATTCTATGAAACACGATTCTTTGAAATATGACATTCAGAAGCAACGCGTAAAATCAAACTATTCGTCACCCACGCAATAGATGGCGTATGTTGAAATTTTAGTTTATTTAGTATATTAACTTATTTACAAGTTCTCAGTTTTAATAAAACTACCACCGCACTATAAAAGATGCGCCAAATCAAACATAATTGCGGTAAAACGATCGCACGAAATGACGCATGTTTTAAGATACACAAATGATGATAACGTTTTATTTTAAAACTAGTTATTTGTGGAATGCATGTCTTTAGTGAACATGTAAATTACGTCATTTTAAGAGTAGAGTTGTAACATCATTCACTGATTGTGTGAGTGTAAGTCGATTTTATTCACTTTGGATCAGTTCATCTCCTTTTTGCTAAATGTAACGCATATCCATTACACTCACATAACATGAAATAAGTGAGTGGTACAAATTCGCTTGGTAAGTATTTTAAAACAACCATTATCTTGCACACATCAACAAGACCAGTAGACCGCATAATCAGCATGATATAAATTTCATGTTATAATCTTTCTCGTTTAGAATATGATTTGAAAAGTGAAGAATATATCATCAAGTTGGTGAGTGCTTCACAAACCTATGAGAGCTGGCAATTATTTTATTAGTTTTGATGCATGATTCTTTGAGATACGACATTCAGAAGCAAGGTATAAAATCAGCACCCACGCAATAGATGGCGTATGTTGAAATTCATGCTTCAGAATAATTGTCTGTCGTATCACGATCAGTTTTGCCGTCCGTTCATTTTCTCTCTTATATTTACACATTCTTGTTGAATTGATTTTATTACGTCTCTTTTGAATGCAATATGGAAAACCAAAAAGGAAATTCCTTTTTTCAATTGGTCGCAAGATAGGCAAGTTATTTGCACTCTATGAGTGCTGTGTGAGAGAAGTTCGCCAAATTTATCTTGTTTTCGAACGAAAACATAACAATTATAATTGCATCATGAAATACGCTACATACTTGCTTAGTAAGCCCTTTCAAAACAACCATTATCTTGCACACAACACAATACCAGTAGACCGCATAATCAGCGTGATATAAATTTCCTGTTGTGATTGATCTTTCGTTTTTAGAATATGAGTTTTAAAAAGTGAAGAATATATCATCAAGTTGGTGAGTACTTCACAAACCTCTAAGAATATGGCGCATGTTGAAATTCATGCTTTAGAATAATTGTCTGTCTTATCACAATAATTTTTGACATCTGTTTACTCTCTTATATTGAGACATTGCTCGTGTCTATCTTCTGTTACAGACAATTTTTTAAATTGATATTATTCATTATTTTTATTGAACGCAGTATTGAAGTCGAAAGGGAAATTCCCAAACTCTCAATTTATTAATCAACCATGGTACAGCTGATTCTTAGCTTGAACCGCAGTTAAAAACGTTTTTCAATTTTAGCGAGCAGAAATGTCCGGTATACCATGGGAAAGCGAGGAAAGACAAAACTTCATTCGAGCAGACTACATTGTCAGTGACGTTGTGAGGAAGGAATTAAGAAGTTTCTTTATTCAGGAATGGAACAAGGCTTCTCTCGGAGCATGGGATGACACAAACGTAAGTGGTAGCAAGTTCTTTAATCTGGAGGCATCACGAGCAAGACCAAATAAGTCAATGCTTCAATCCAAATTTAATCATGGAAATTCAAATGATTGGGATTGTACTGTACTTTTTGATGCAATTCTTTATTCCAACTCGATTGGTGCAAACCTTATTCCAACGCAAAAAACTGAAATCGATAATCTGAGAAAACTGCGAAATGAAATAACTCATAAACCTGAAAAAACGCTGGATGATGCCGACTTTCAAACCAAGACAACAGACGTTATAAATGCATTGAATGCATTAGGACTGTCAAGCAGCGAAGTCGTTCGAATTAAAAATCTCTATAAATCCTTCCAAATTCTACCTCCCAAGCCATCTCATGAAGTCGTGTCTCGTTCTGACAAGATACACGAGATAAGAGAAGATCTTGAAAAGTTGCGCAGCGATAACGATGGCAAACTTACATATTTTTACATCTCTGGGAATCCTGGAAGTGGAAAATCTCAACTCGCCAGACAAGTTTGTGAAGATATTTGCGAAGATGTTCATGCGAAGGACGAAGCAATGTTTGCAATGACATTAAACGGAAAAGATTTAGATTCTCTTTTATATTCCTATGAAGTTTTTTGTCGTAAGCTAAATTGCAACGAAAGCGTATTAAAAGATCTTTTGAGCTCTTCTAAACCAAAAGATGGGAAAATCAAAGATTTGAGATTGCAAATATCCAACAGAATCAAGCATTGGAAGAAGTGGTGGATTATCGTCGACAATGTGGAAAATCTCGAGCTCATTTTCCCACTATTGCCTCTGATGGGCGACGATGTTTGGAATAACGGTCAAATCATAGTGACGACACAAAACACAAATGCAGTTCCTTCCGACAGCTTGTCAAGTAAACATATTTCACTTAGTCTCGGTATGAATAACAAAAAAAGTCGCGAGCTTCTTGCCCTGTTGTCAAAAACTGAAGTCAATGATTCATTATTAGATGAGGTGGCAGAGAAGTTAGATCATCAACCACTGGCAATGGCTTCGGCAGCCGTGTATATGAGACAAGCCAACGAGTGTCATCAAGACTTTTCGTGGCCAGATTATTTAGAAAAGCTTAAGAAAGGGAAAAGGGAATTAACAGAAGAGCGTCTCAAGCAGACAAATTCAGCAGCATATTCATCCACCATGAGTGCAGCTGTGCTTTTAGCTGTTACAAAATGTGCGGAAAAAAACAAAATTCTTGAAGACGCGTTCAACCTTTTCTCTTTGATATCGTTTGAACCACTGCCACTTGATCTTGTTGTGAAATACGTTCAGCAGAAAGAAGAGTTGGATGCCGAGGATATTATACTTACAATAACACACTGCTCGTTGTTTGTTCATGTTGGGAATAAAGACGGTGATATACGCCTGCATCGTGTTGTCCACGAGGTGATCAAATTGATTTTTCCTTTAAAAGAACATATTAACTACGACATTTCACCCGAAAATGAAATTTCAAATAAAAGTGGAACTATAAAAAGAGTAATTCACAGCGTTGTGAAAACAATGTATTCCTTCAAGAATAGGAAAGATATAATTAAAATGATTCCACATTTGAAAGTATTTCACACAGAAATTAACAGATTGTTTCCGAATCAAGCGTTATTTTTTGATGAGCACAGGCTTTGATAAAACTGAAATGATTGGAGTGTATAGGTTTTTTGGGAAAAAACTTTTTTATTTTTCTGAGTTCAAAATGTCGATGGATTTTTTTCAACAGGAACTGAAAAATAAATTAGAACTATTAGGCGAAAATCATGTTCTTACAGCTTGTGCTTACGAAAACCTGGGTTGTGTGTGTCACAATAAAGGTGATTTCGAACAGGCCAATGACTACCATCAGCGGGCCCTGAAGATTCGATTAGAACAATTAGGGGAGAACCATATTGACTTAGCTGCGTCTTACAACAACCTGGGTAATGTGTGTTCTGATAAAGGTGATTTGGAACAGGCCAATGATTATCATCAGCGGGCGCTGAAGATTCAATTAGAACAATTAGGAGAGAACAATATTGACGTGGCTAATTCTTACAACAACCTGGGTAATATGTGTTCTGATAAAGGTGACCTGGAACAGGCCAGTGATTATCATCAGCGGGCGCTGAAGATTAAATTAGAACAATTAGGAGAGAACCATATTTACATAGCTAATTCTTACAACAACTGGGTAATGTGTTTTATCGTAAAGGTGATCTGGAACAGGCTAGTGATTATATCAGCGGGCACTGAAGATTCAATTAGAACAATTAGGAGAGAGCATATTGACGTAGCTAAATTTACAACAACCTGGGTGTTGTGCGTTCTGATAAAGGTGATTTGGAACAGGCCAATGATTACCATAAGCGGGCACTGAAGATTCGATTAGAACAATTAGGAGAGAAGCAATTTGACGTTGCTACGTCTTACACAACTGGGTGTTGTGTTTTATCGTAAAGGTGATCTGGAGCAGGCCAGTGATTATCATCAGCGGGCGCTGAAGATTCAATTAGAACAATTAGGAGAGAACCATATTGACGTTGCTAATTCTTATAACACCTGGGTAATGTGTTTATCGTAAAGGTGATCTGGAACAGGCCAGTGATTATCATCAGCGGGCGCTGAAGATTCAATTAGAACAATTAGGAGAGAACTACATATTGACGTAGCTGGCTTAGCTACGTCAGCTGCCAGCTGGGCGCTGTGTGTTTTAATCAAGGCGATCTAGAGAAAGCTGAAGAAATATCATCATTGGGCTATGGACATTATATTGCAACGATTTGGTCGGACTTTAATGCAAGAATTTATACAAATTTTTGTAAATTCACTTGAAATACCTCTGGATTAAGAATATAAAGATTTCGGAATCTGCAATAATTTAAAATTCAATGGAATTAATTTACTAATTGTTTGCATTAATTAGAGCCATTGATTATTTTTAAACATCAGGTTTCGAATCATAAAGCTGTCTATATAAATAGAGGCGTCGGGACCCGGGGGTACAGGGCATGCACCCCCGTTAATTTTTCAAATGATTAAAAGTGCCCTTTAACCAGCATATTTAACAATTAACCACCTTTATAGATGTTTTAGGGGCTGTTTACATGAGCCCAGTTACCCGAGATTCAACGAAGCGTGAGAGGACTTTGAGGTATTGAAATAAATTTTTATGACACCAAACAAGCACATGCTATTGTTGTGGTGATTATACGAATGCCAGGATCATGTTATCTGCTCATTTCAATACCTCAAAATCATCTCATGCTTCGTTGAATTTCGGGTAACCGGGCTCATGCAAACAGCCCCTTAGCTGCCCTTTTCTTGCCCAAAAGTGCCCCTTGACCCTTGCACCCACTCCCAACTTTGAGTTGTTTCCTACTCCCTTGTATAATAAAATTACTGATTTTGTTCAACCAATTCTGAAGTTATGGATTTATCAATATCAGCAAATATCAGAATAACGTTGCTGTTCAGCCCGGTTACCTTATTGATATCGCAGCAGTGTCCGAGAAAATTTCGGCGAATGTGATCGCAGAGACGTCGCTTTAAGTCTTAACTATTATTTGAGTTAGTGGTTTGTAAATCCAAAGATTCGTTGGTCACTTTGCCCAGGTATTTTAAATAAATATATTCTCTTCGCCTAATTATAAATTATTTAGGATAAGTTATTTAATTTGAGCTTAATAGTTTGATCGCTGGAAAAAGATGATTTTAATTTCAGGAATACGAACAAGTCATTTAATTTTGTTGATGACGGCAGACTTAGATTAGTCAAAATAAACCCAATCATATATATAACATAATTATATAACCTTCTTCAGAGTATTAGGAGCAGATATATTAGCTAAATATCACCACCAACGCAACACATGGCGTGTGATGAAATTTATGTTTCATGCTTCAGAGTAATTTTCCTCTGTAATGCAAACAGTTTTGTCGTCAGTTTATTTTCTGTTTTATATCGAGACATCGCTCGTTTCTATCTTCTGATACACACAAGTTTGTTAACTTAATATTTTTTTGTTTTTACGTTTCATTTCATTTGAATGCAATATAGAGGAAAACAGGGAATTCCCCTGTCAATTAGTTGCTTACATGGCAAGTTATTCGAATTCGTTGAGTGTCGTGTAAGAGAAGTTTCCTCGATTTCATCGTCTTTTTCGAACTAAAATGTAACAATTATAATCGCAATATGAAATGAATGGTGAAAACTGCAAATTCGCTTGGTAAGTATTTCGAAACAACCATTATCTTGCACACAACGCCAGCATATAAAGGCAGCAGACCGAATAATCAGCATGATATAAATTTCAGTCAGCTTGATATAAAATATGAATTTTATCATAATTAATCTTTCTTGTTTAGAATATAAGTTAAAAAGTGAAGAATATTTCATCAAGTTGGTGAGTATACTGCATAAACCTGTAGGAATACTGATGTTTTATTAGTTTTGATGCATGATTCTTTGAGATTTGACATTCAAAATCAAACTATCCACCAACCACACAATAGAAAGCGTATGTTGAAATTCATGCTTCAGAATAATTGTCTGTTAATAATTGTTTTGTCTTCTGTCTATTTTCCCTCTTTATCGAGACATTGCTGGTGTTAATGTGTTTCTGTTACCCACAAGTTGATTAAATTCTTATTTGTCACTGTCATTTTTATTGAATGCAATATCAAAAGCAAAAGGGAAATACCTCAACTGTCAATTTATCACACAACCATGGTACTGTTCTTGCCTTCTTGTGTTTGGGCAAAAAAACAAGCAGTTGGAGTAGCAAAAGCTATTGCGAAGGTTTGAGAAACACGATACAGGATTTTAAAGACATTTATGTCTTTTATTTCATTCGAATGCAATATCAAAAGTGGGGAATTTCCCTTTCAGTTAGTTTCCTGTTTGCATACACAAAAGCTTTCAAGGTAGCATATATAACAAAATTCGTCTCGTTTTCGTATTCAGATGAAATAGACGAATTGAGTCATTGACAATCGCTTCTCAACTTCTGATAATGTAGACCTCGCTTACGAGTTATGTGAATATCTTGGCTGGTAAAGAAACTACGTAAACTTCATCGTGAACAAAAATGAAACATTTGAAATAATATCGAGGTCTGTACTAGTATTGTGTTGATTGTTTTGGTCATGTCTCGATATGTAGACGACAGATCAAATTCTTTGAAAAATATTTTGCAACTCAGATCAGTTTGTCTAAAGTTTTTACTGCCCCCATGATTTTCGTGAAGCGTTTATTTCCGTCCTTATCACGGGATTAAATTATTTTCGGTGCGTGAAATGGGGAATTCAAATATTAACGAGAGCCGGTAATGTTTAAATCTAAGCGGCGGATTTCGTGAATTCTTTTGCGAAATAGCGTGATTACGTGATACAAGCTGCTCCAAAAATGGCTTGATCCCACAGAAAATATCTCAAAAGTGTTTTTTGGACCCTTTCTGACTTTCTATTCATGTTTGATGTTGTCATTTATTTTGTCGAATTCAATTAGGCATGCTCTCTTTTAGCCTCGGCGTGAACGTGAATTTTATTCCTGTTTTTACGTGACGCGTTATTTCGATTATTTTGGGGCGTGAATGCGTGAATTCGTATGGCTCTTGAGGACCCTTTCAAGGCTAAAAAGCCGGGCTAATTTTTTGTTTATTTTCAAACAAAACACAAAGTAATGCCTGATCATATAAATAGCGTGTGTTGATAAAATAAAACTAGCGCATATTCCGCACCCTTGTTTGAAGTCGCGGAAAACACTTAGCTTGTCACATGATGGTCGAATTATGTGGGCAAGACGACGGCATCTATATTCAATACCTTTAGAATTTGTGGGACATAGTTATTTGTTTGTTGGGCAGTTTTGATTACCAGAGAGCGATATGGGAAGTGTGTACTTGAACTATATTTTAAAACCTAATTATAACTATCATATTTATGGCTTTAAATGAGCGACTATAGAACTACAATCCTGGAAAAAAATTGTAGACTTTTTTTTGCGTCACGTTTCCCCATCCCCCCCCCCGTATACAATATTTACGCGAAATATCTCGGCAAATGACTTTATTTCACTCAAAATTGCTCCTCGGGGATTTGTGATGCACAAATGATGCCGGATAACGTTTGTTTCAAAACTTGTTATTTGTGGAATGCATGGCTTTAGTGAACATGTAAATTACATCATTGTAAGAGCAGAGTTATCACATCGTGGTATTTTACCGTACAGACCGAACAGTCGAAGTTAGTAAGTTTTTTATTATATGGCATATTTCATGCAGACATTGTAATGATTAATTCTTTATGAGTAATTTTAATGATCAATCTCATCCGGGCACACGACACCAAAACATCGGCCTAAAGTGAAAAAAAAACGCTCTATTTTGTAAAATATAAATTTATTATTTTTATTTCAAATTCATTATTTTCCGTTTAAGAATTTAATCTGTTTTTCAGTTTAAATTTAGTTAGTTTTTGCCGTGAGTTTCGCCTTGTTTTCACAGGGCAATAAGAATTGCGTATTGCCCGTGGGCAATACGGGGAAATCCGGACCTGTCAGCAGCCAATCAAATTGCAGAATTAACCAAAACAAGCGCTTGCCATATAATAATACTCCTTATTACCTGAAACATGTAAACTTTGGGTGATAGAGAGAAAGAATATATTCACCTTCACGATATTTTTCTATTCGCATAGCGGCATTAATCTGTGAGTGTCATAAAGTAGGCAGAATGTGTATGTTTTTCATTTTAAATATTTGACCGGAATTTCGGGTACAAGATCTGATTATCAGTGATTTTCAATCCAAATCTCAAACAGAGTCGTGCTGAGCCCAAATGAAATGTACAACAGATATACAATGACGCTTGTTTTAAGATGCATATTTGACGGATGATGGTACAACGTTTCTTTTAAAAATTGTTATTTGTGGAACTTGGCTCAAACCTCGATTACTTTAAGTAGTTACTATAACATGATTTCAGTCAACTTACTAAAACTCATTACCAAAGGAGAAGCTTTGTGTATAAATAAATAGATTTGTGGATTAGAGGGCGAACTGATATTCGTTTCGTTTTGTTGGTGATGGCAGATTTAGATTGTCAAATGAAAACACAACCATATCTGCAATATTTTCTTTATTTCACATAGTATACAACATTGCGTAAAACGATCGCAAGAAATAACGCCTAAGGGGCTGTTTACATGAGCCCGGTTACCCGAGTTTCAACGAAGCGTGAGAGGACTTTGAAGTATTGAAATAAGTCTTTATGACACAAAACAAGCACATGCTATTGTTAAGGTGATTATACGACTGCCAGGACAATGTCATCTGCTCATTTCAATACCTCAACATCATCTCACGCTTCGTTGAATCTCGGGTAACCGGGCTCATGTAAACAGCCTCTAAATGTTTTGAGATACACAAATGATGATAACATTTGTTTCAAAACTTGTTATTTGTAGAATGCATGGCTTGAGTGAACATGTAAATTACGTCATTGTAAGAGCAGAGTTGTCACATCATTCACTGATTGTGTGAGTGTGAGACGATTTTATTCACTTTGGACCAGTCCTCTTTTTTCCTAAATGTAATGCTTACCCATTACACTCACATAACATCAAATAAACGAATGATGAAAACTACACATTCGCTTGGTATAAATATTTTAAAACAACCATTATCTTGCACAAAACAACAAGACCAGTAGACGGCATAATCAGCATGATATAAATTTCATGTTACAATTCATCAGTTCTTTCTTTATCGTTTAGAATACGAGTAAAAAAGTGAAGAATATAATTATATCATCAAGTTGGTGAGTACTTCATAAACCTATGAGAGCTTGCAATTGTTTTATTAGTTTTTGACGCATGTTTCTTTGAGATATGACGATCAGAAGAAACGTATAAAATCAAACTATTTACCACACACGCAATAGCCAATACATCGCGTATGTTGAAATTCATGCTTCAAAATAATTATCAGCCGAATCACGATGAGTTTTGTCTTCAGTTTATTTTCTCTCTTATATTTACACATTGCTCGTGTCTAACTTCTGTTACACACAAGTTTGTTGAATTGATTTTATAACATCTCATTTCCTTTGAATGCAACACAGAAACCAAAACAGAAATTCCCTTTTTAATTAGGCCGTTATAAGGCAAGTTACTCGAACTAAGAAGAGTGAGAGAGGTTTCGGCAATTTGATCTTTTTTCGAACTAAAAAATAACAATTATAATTGCGTAGTAAAAATGAGTGGTGAAAACTACATACTTGCTTAGTAAATCCTTTAAAAATAACGATTATCTTTCACACAACAACAATACCAGTAAACCGCATAATCATGCAGCGTGGTATAAATTTCATGTTGTGATTGATCATTCGTTTTTAGAATATGAGTTTTAAAAAGTAAAGAATATATCATCACATTGGTGAGTACTTCACAAAACTATAAGAAAATGGCGTATGTTGAAATTCATGCTTCAGGATAATTGTCTGTCTCAAAACAATCATTTTTGTCATCTGTTGACTTTCTCTCTTTTATTGAGACATTGCTCGTGTCTATCTTCCGTTACAGACAAGTTTTTTAAATTGATATTATTCATTATTTTTATTCAACGCAATATTGTAGCCGAAAAGGAACTTGCGAAACTCTCAATTTATTAATCAACCATATATAGTACAGCTGATTTTTAGCTTGAATCGCATTTAAAAACGTTCTTCAATTTTTAGCAGCCAAGAATGTCCGGTATACCATGGGAAAGCGAGGAAAGACAAAACTACATTCGAGCAGACTACATTGTCAGTGATGTTGTGAGGAAGGAATTAAGGAATTTCTTTATTCAGGAATGGAACAAACGTTACCAGGCTTCTCGTGGAGCATGGGATGACACAAACGTAAGTGGTAGTCACTTGTTTAATCTCGAGAAATCAAGAGCAAGAGGAATTAAACCAATGCTTCAGTCCAAATTTAAGCATGGAGATACAAATGATTGGGATTGTACTGCACTTTTTGGTGCAATTCTTTTTTCCAAATCGATTGGTGCAAGCCTTAATCCAACGCAAAAAACTGAAATCGATAATCTGAGAAAACTACGAAATGAAATAACTCATAAACCTGAAAAAACGCTGGATGATGCCGACTTTCAAACTAAGACAACAGACGTTATAAATGCATTGAGTGCATTAGGACTGACAAGCAACGAAGTTGTTCGAATTAAAAACCTCTATAAATCCTTCCAAATTCTACCTCCCAAGCCAACTCATGAAGTCGTGTCTCGTTCTGACAAGATACACGAGATAAGAGAGGATCTTGAAAAGTTGCGCAGCGATAACGACGGCAAACTTACATATTTTTACATCTCTGGAAATCCCGGAAGTGGAAAATCTCAACTCGCCAGAAAAGTTTGTGAAGATATTTGCGAAGATGCTCATGTGAAGGACGAAGCAATGTTTGTAATGACATTGAACGGAAAAGATTTAGATTCTCTTTTATATTCATATGAAGATTTTTGTCGTAAGCTAAATTGCAACCAAAGCGTGTTACAAAATCTTTCGAGCTCTTCTAAAGCAAAATATGAGAAAATTAAAGATTTAAGATTACAAATATCCAACAGAATTAAGAGTTGGAAGCAGTGGTGGATTATCGTCGACAACGTTGAAAATTTCGAGCTCATTGCCCCACTACTGCCTCTGATGGGCGGCGATGTTTGGAATAACGGCCAAATCATAGTGACGACACAGAACACAAATGCAGTTCCTTCCGACAGCCTGTCAAGTAAACATATTTCACTTTGTCTCGGTATGACTGACCAAGAATGTCGCGAGCTTCTTGCCCTGTTATCAAGAACAGACGTCAATGATCCATTACTATATGAGGTGGCAGAGAAGTTAGATCGTCAACCGTTGGCATTGGCCGCTGCAGCCGTGTATATGAGACAAGTCAACGAGATTCGTTCAGATTTTTCATGGCCAGATTATTTAGAAAAGCTTAAAAGAGGAAGAAGAGAATTCACCGAAAAACGTCTGAAGCAGACAAATTCAGCAGCATATTCATCCACCATGAGTGCCGCTGTGCTTTTAGCTGTTACAAAATGTCAGGAAGAAAACACAATTCTTGAACACGCATTCAACCTTTTCTCTTTGATATCATTTGAACCACTACCACTTGATCTTGTTGTGAAATACGTTCAGCAGGAAGAAGAAGAGTTGGATGCCGAGGATATCATTCTTCCAATAAAACACTGCTCATTGTTTGTTCATGTGGGAAATAAGGGGGGAGACATCCGTCTTCATCGTGTTGTCCATGATGTGATCAAATTGCTTTGTCTTTCGAAAAAAACTGACATTGGCAATTCATCAAAAGATAAAATATCAAATGAAGGGCAAAATATAAGAAAAGTAATTCACGACGTTACAAGAACATTGTATTCTTTCAAAGATAGGAAAGATAAGATGAAAATAATTTCACATTTAAAATCATTATTCACAGAAATTAACAAATTGTTTCCAAATGAAGGGCTATCCTCAATGAGCTCAGCATTTGATGAAACTGAAATCCGGAAAATATTTTCTTTTTTTGGAGAAATTCTACACGACTTTTTCGAGTTTGACTTCTCGTTGAAAATTTTCCAGCAGAAATTGAAAATTGCATTACAGCAATTAGGACCAAAGAATATTGACGTTGCCTTTTGCTACACCAGTCTGGGTAATGTGTATCGTGATAAAGGTGATCTGGACCAAGCTTATGATTATTGTCAGCAGGGTCTGAAAATTATATTAGAACAATCAGGAGAGAAAATTTTTGACGTTGCTAGTTCGTACATCGCCTTTGGTAATGTGTGTAAAGTTAAAGGTAATTTTGAGCAAGCTAAAGATTATTATCAACGAGCACTGAATATTCTGTTGGAACAATTGGGGCCAAACCATGTTGATGTTGCTACTACATACCAAAATCTGGGTGTTGTGTGTAGTGATAAAGGTGATTTGGAGCAAGCTAAAGATTATTATCAACAAGTGGAGAAAATTCTATTAGAAAAATTAGAGCCAAATGATAGAAAATTTGCTAACTTATACACCAACCAGGCTAGTGTATATCTTAAGGAAGGTGATTTGGAGCAAGCTAATAATTATTTTCAAGCTGCCCTGAAAATTCTATTAGAACTATTAGGGCCAAATCATATTGATGTTGCTACCTTACACATGAACTTGGGTGTTGTGTGTAAAGTTAAAGGTGATTTGAAGCAAGCTAGTGATTATTACCAACGAGCGCTGAAAATTAAATTAGAATATTTAGGCCCAAATCATCATGTCGTTGCTGGCATATACAGCAACTTGGGTAATTTGTGTAAAGATAAAGGTGATTTGGAGCAAGCTAGTTATTATTATCAACAAACGCGGAAAATTCGGTTAGAACAATTGGGGCCAAACCATGTTGAACTTGCTAGTTCATACAACAACCTGGGTACTGTGTGTTATGCTAAAGGTGATTTTGAGCAAGCTGATAATTATTATCAACGAGCACTGGAAATTCAAATAGATCAATTGGGACCAAACCATGCTGACGTTGCTGCTTCATACAACAACTTGGGGCTTGTGTGTAAGGGTAAAGGTGATTTGGAGCAAGCTCGTGATTATTATCAACGAGCGCTGAAAATTCAGTTAGAACAGTTGGGGCCAAACCATGCTGACGTTGCCAATTCATACAACAACTTGGGGCGCCTTGTGTGTGAGAATGAAGGTGATTTGGAGCAAGCTAACGATTATTTTCAACAAGCGTTTAAAATTCAATTAGAAAAATTAGGGCCAAATCATATAACAATTGCCGACTTATACAACAACCTGGGTATTGTGTATCGTAAGAAAGGAAATTTGCAGCAAGCTAATAATTATTATAAACTAGCCCTGAAAATTCGATTAGAACAATTGGGGCCAAATCATAGAGATGTTGCTGATTTATACGAAAACTTGGGTAATATTTATAGGGATAAAGGTGATTTGGAGCAAGCTACGTATAAATTACGTATAAATTTGAAAGTGGTTTTTCAGCGCTTGTGTAAATAATAAAACTGTTTTTCTGCTCACTCTCGTGGTATATGACTAATGATATACGATTGCAAAATAACTGTTAAATATATCTCTCGCGTTGGGTCTGGTGTTTTATAGATGCACTTGCCAATGATCAAATAGTAGGGTAACTGGAACACTTATATATGCGGCCCAAATAATTTCTAATGAATCTACTCAACAGTTATTTTTTGCAATAATGTTTCGGGTAATATGAGTTTTCGGAAGGTTGATTTACCGCTATTAAAGCACCTGCAGAATTTTGATATTTTATATTTTACATCGGAAGACTCTTTGGTGCATAACAATGCTTTAGTTATGATGTCAAATATTTTGATGTCAAATATTTTGACATGGTTAACCACGCTGTTTTAATGGTCAAATGCTTGTCCAATTTAAAGTTTTTAGCATGTTTGGCGCTCATATACAAACATTAAACAATATAACCATGCTTTGGTTATGATGTCAAATATTTTGACATGGATAACCACGCCGTTTTTATGGTCAAATGCTTGTCCTATTTAAAGTTTCCAGCATGTTTGGCGCTCATATACAAACATTAAATAATATAACCATGCTTTGGTTATGATGTCAAATATTTTGACATGGATAACCACGCTGTTTTAATGGTCAAATGCTTGTCCTATGTAAAGTTTCCAGCATGTTTGGCGCTCATATACAAACTTTAAACAAAATAACCACGCTTTAGTTACGATGTCAAATATTTTGACATGGATAACCACGCTGTTTTAATGGTCAAATGCTTGTCCTATGTAAAGTTTCCAGCATGCTTGGCGCTCACATACAAACATTAAACAATATAACCATGCTTTAGTTATGATGTCACATATTTTGACATGGATAACCACGCTGTTTTAATGGTCAAATGCTTGTCCAATGTAAAGTTTCCAGCATGTTTGACGCTCATATTATACAAACATTAAATAATATTACTATGCTTTGGTTATGATGTCAAATATTTTGACATGGGTTTATACCCACGCTGTTTTAATGGTCAAATGCTTGTCCTATATAAAGTTGCAAGCATGTTTCGTGCTCATATAGAAACATTAAACAATATATATAGCCATGCTTTGGTTATGATGTCAAATATTTTGATGTGGATAACCACGCTGTTTTAATGGTCAAATGCTTGCATATGTAAAGTTTCCAGCATGCTTCGTGCCCATATAGAAACATTAAACAATATATATATAACCATGCTTTGGTTATGATGTCAAATATTTTGAAATTGATAACCACGCTGTCTTAATGGTGAAATGCTTGTCATATGTAAAGTTGCAAGCATGTTTCATGCCCATATTATAGAAACATTAAACAATACTACCATACTTTGGTTATGATGTCAAATATTTTGATATTGATAACCACGCTGTTTTAATGGTCAAATGCTTGTCCTATGTAAAGTTTCCAGCATGTTTGGTGCTCATATACAAACCTTAAACAATATAACCATACTTTGGTTATGATGTCAAATATTTTGATATGGATAACCACGATGTTTTAATGGTTAAATGCTTGTCCTATGTAAAGTTTCCAGCATGTTTGGCGCTCATATACAACATTAAAAAATATAACCATGCTTTATCAGGTCAAATATTTTGACATGGGTCACCATGCACGCTGTTTTAATGGTCAAATGCTGCGACGAATGTATTTTCATTATGACTTTGAAAAGGGATTTAGGTAGGAATAAATAAATGTAGCTTTTAACACAAAGCGCTGATGCTCTAGTAGCTAATCCTTGAAGAACTTTCTTTTTTATGGTAATTGCAATTTGCAGACATGCGTCGTGCATGTGCGTGTACTATCTTTAATTATCTACGTTTGTGATGTGTGCACGTGGTTATTCCCCCCCTATGTTCACTAGTATACTATTGCATTAAATCAACAAAATTTTAAATGTTCTTTATTCACTTAATTTCTTAACTAAATCAATCTGTTTAGCTTATATAGTAAATGCAGTGAGTGAAAAATAACACTATATACGGTTACTAAACATACTTAAACGCTGTGATATATACTAAGCTTTCGGCTTTTGGAGTCGCATCCACTGCGTGAAGTGCCAATCTATCAGTTCTCGCTCTCTTGTCCTGTTTCGAGAAAAGAGGCTCCTCTTGCAAGTTTGTCTATGGCGCCGTAGTTTTTAGTTTCTCGCATGTCATAAGCGGAAGGATTAAATTATGAAAGGAATGTTTTCCATTATGAACTTGAAAAAAGGTTTAAGTAAAATAAAAATAACGTCAGTTATCCCAAGAGCAAATAGTCTAGAGGTCACGAGAATAGTCTCGCAACTTTCATGTTGATGGTTCGAATTCTGGGTGGTGAAAGTGTTTTATCATGACGTAAAATTTGGGTAAGTTAGAAAAATATAGCTGTTGATTTCAAGATCTGTTGGCCGAGTGGCAAAGACAATCGTCGCGTAACTCGCGTTATTACGTCGCGAGCTCCCATGAATACATGAATGATGCCTTCCCTCAATTATCGATGCTAACTACGCCACTGCCACGTGGAATTTCTTGGCAACAATAAGGAGTGAGTAATGATTCTAAGGTTTAGCACTAATATCTGGAGTGGTGAATTGAAAATTCGCTGTTACTAAGTGGCGATTAGAGACATTCAAATAACTTCTCCATTTCTTTTAAAGTTTATAATTTTTTCACTATGTGGTTAACAAGAAACGTCAAGTAGTTCGACGACGAAGATTCACAGTCGTTCTTGGTCTTCACAACAGATCTCAGGAGAACGAGACTCAAGTTAAAGAGATGCACATTGGTCAGATATTCGATTATAGGGATTATAATCCAACCACCTTCCAGGCTGATCTTGCCTTACTACGACTGACCCATCCAGTTATTTCTGCACATCATTTACGAAATTTACAATATATAATATTGGGAGTTAACGCTTACTTGTGGGGGCGTCACAAGTATTTATAGTCACAATCAAGCCAGTTGATAACACAATCATTGTTTTTTCCTTTAGAATTTAAGTTGAAAGTAAGAAGTAGATCATCAAGTTGGTACGAACTCATTTAAACATTTGAACTCCAATCATGCAAACATGCTTTTCTGCCTGGGAAAAATGTGCTGAAAAGGTCATTTCACACGAAAATTTATTGTCGCAATCACGGTATCTCCCGTAGTGCTTTTGTAGAGTCGATCAAAGTAGCGCAGGGAATTATTTCATTTAGACTTGCTCTGCGAACATTTTATACTCCCTATTTTACGAATAGGACATCGCTGAATTTAATATTGGGGATACATATTGTATAAAACGTCACATAAATTGAGGTTTGTTTTGCATACACGTTCAAACTTGTTTTGCTGAATACATTAGACGGTGACGGATGACCTTGTAGACTAAGTCGTTGTTATTACAGTCGAAATACGAGTGACATTCAGAAGCAACGTATTACATTTTTGCAAAATGTTTCTTAAAAATATAATTCAAAGTTTTATACTGCATACTGTATGCAGTTTAGGTATGTGCATTACAGGGTAAAGGTTAGAGTTATAAGCACTCGTGCAGAGCCTAGTTTGATCAGTGCATGGAATGTCATTAAGACATCCTGAAGATAGGTATGCAATTCGAAAAATAATTGCACAAAACGATCATACAAAAATGACGTCTGCACGTTTTGAGATACTTGTTAATAATTTTGTGGCATGCATTTCACAGCATTCACTGATTGTGTGGGCGTGAGACGATTTTATTCATTTTGGAAAGTTTATCTTTTTCAAAAAATAATGCAGCCATTACAATCATGACACTTGAAATAAATGAGTGGCGAAAAATACGAATTACTTCGTAGGTATTTGAAGGCATTATATATAATATCTTGCACAGAACAACAAGACCAGTAGACCGCAGAATCAGCATGATATAAATTTCTTGTTATAATTATAATCTTCCTCGTTTAGAAGATGAGTTAAAAACTGAAGAATATACCATCAAGTTGGTGAGCAATTGATTAATCTATTTGGGTATGTTTTATTAGTTTTGACGCGTGATTCTATGAAACACGATTCTTTGAAATATGACATTCAGAAGCAACGCGTAAAATCAAACTATTCGTCACCCACGCAATAGATGGCGTATGTTGAAATTTTAGTTTATTTAGTATATTAACTTATTTACAAGTTCTCAGTTTTAATAAAACTACCACCGCACTATAAAAGATGCGCCAAATCAAACATAATTGCGGTAAAACGATCGCACGAAATGACGCATGTTTTAAGATACACAAATGATGATAACGTTTTATTTTAAAACTAGTTATTTGTGGAATGCATGTCTTTAGTGAACATGTAAATTACGTCATTTTAAGAGTAGAGTTGTAACATCATTCACTGATTGTGTGAGTGTAAGTCGATTTTATTCACTTTGGATCAGTTCATCTCCTTTTTGCTAAATGTAACGCATATCCATTACACTCACATAACATGAAATAAGTGAGTGGTACAAATTCGCTTGGTAAGTATTTTAAAACAACCATTATCTTGCACACATCAACAAGACCAGTAGACCGCATAATCAGCATGATATAAATTTCATGTTATAATCTTTCTCGTTTAGAATATGATTTGAAAAGTGAAGAATATATCATCAAGTTGGTGAGTGCTTCACAAACCTATGAGAGCTGGCAATTATTTTATTAGTTTTGATGCATGATTCTTTGAGATACGACATTCAGAAGCAAGGTATAAAATCAGCACCCACGCAATAGATGGCGTATGTTGAAATTCATGCTTCAGAATAATTGTCTGTCGTATCACGATCAGTTTTGCCGTCCGTTCATTTTCTCTCTTATATTTACACATTCTTGTTGAATTGATTTTATTACGTCTCTTTTGAATGCAATATGGAAAACCAAAAAGGAAATTCCTTTTTTCAATTGGTCGCAAGATAGGCAAGTTATTTGCACTCTATGAGTGCTGTGTGAGAGAAGTTCGCCAAATTTATCTTGTTTTCGAACGAAAACATAACAATTATAATTGCATCATGAAATACGCTACATACTTGCTTAGTAAGCCCTTTCAAAACAACCATTATCTTGCACACAACAACAATACCAGTAGACCGCATAATCAGCGTGATATAAATTTCCTGTTGTGATTGATCTTTCGTTTTTAGAATATGAGTTTTAAAAAGTGAAGAATATATCATCAAGTTGGTGAGTACTTCACAAACCTCTAAGAATATGGCGCATGTTGAAATTCATGCTTTAGAATAATTGTCTGTCTTATCACAATAATTTTTGACATCTGTTTACTCTCTTATATTGAGACATTGCTCGTGTCTATCTTCTGTTACAGACAATTTTTTTAAATTGATATTATTCATTATTTTTATTGAACGCAGTATTGAAGTCGAAAGGGAAATTCCCAAACTCTCAATTTATTAATCAACCATGGTACAGCTGATTCTTAGCTTGAACCGCAGTTAAAAACGTTTTTCAATTTTTAGCGAGCAGAAATGTCCGGTATACCATGGGAAAGCGAGGAAAGACAAAACTTCATTCGAGCAGACTACATTGTCAGTGACGTTGTGAGGAAGGAATTAAGAAGTTTCTTTATTCAGGAATGGAACAAGGCTTCTCTCGGAGCATGGGATGACACAAACGTAAGTGGTAGCAAGTTCTTTAATCTGGAGGCATCACGAGCAAGACCAAATAAGTCAATGCTTCAATCCAAATTTAATCATGGAAATTCAAATGATTGGGATTGTACTGTACTTTTTGATGCAATTCTTTATTCCAACTCGATTGGTGCAAACCTTATTCCAACGCAAAAAACTGAAATCGATAATCTGAGAAAACTGCGAAATGAAATAACTCATAAACCTGAAAAAACGCTGGATGATGCCGACTTTCAAACCAAGACAACAGACGTTATAAATGCATTGAATGCATTAGGACTGTCAAGCAGCGAAGTCGTTCGAATTAAAAATCTCTATAAATCCTTCCAAATTCTACCTCCCAAGCCATCTCATGAAGTCGTGTCTCGTTCTGACAAGATACACGAGATAAGAGAAGATCTTGAAAAGTTGCGCAGCGATAACGATGGCAAACTTACATATTTTTACATCTCTGGGAATCCTGGAAGTGGAAAATCTCAACTCGCCAGACAAGTTTGTGAAGATATTTGCGAAGATGTTCATGCGAAGGACGAAGCAATGTTTGCAATGACATTAAACGGAAAAGATTTAGATTCTCTTTTATATTCCTATGAAGTTTTTTGTCGTAAGCTAAATTGCAACGAAAGCGTATTAAAAGATCTTTTGAGCTCTTCTAAACCAAAAGATGGGAAAATCAAAGATTTGAGATTGCAAATATCCAACAGAATCAAGCATTGGAAGAAGTGGTGGATTATCGTCGACAATGTGGAAAATCTCGAGCTCATTTTCCCACTATTGCCTCTGATGGGCGACGATGTTTGGAATAACGGTCAAATCATAGTGACGACACAAAACACAAATGCAGTTCCTTCCGACAGCTTGTCAAGTAAACATATTTCACTTAGTCTCGGTATGAATAACAAAAAAAGTCGCGAGCTTCTTGCCCTGTTGTCAAAAACTGAAGTCAATGATTCATTATTAGATGAGGTGGCAGAGAAGTTAGATCATCAACCACTGGCAATGGCTTCGGCAGCCGTGTATATGAGACAAGCCAACGAGTGTCATCAAGACTTTTCGTGGCCAGATTATTTAGAAAAGCTTAAGAAAGGGAAAAGGGAATTAACAGAAGAGCGTCTCAAGCAGACAAATTCAGCAGCATATTCATCCACCATGAGTGCAGCTGTGCTTTTAGCTGTTACAAAATGTGCGGAAAAAAACAAAATTCTTGAAGACGCGTTCAACCTTTTCTCTTTGATATCGTTTGAACCACTGCCACTTGATCTTGTTGTGAAATACGTTCAGCAGAAAGAAGAGTTGGATGCCGAGGATATTATACTTACAATAACACACTGCTCGTTGTTTGTTCATGTTGGGAATAAAGACGGTGATATACGCCTGCATCGTGTTGTCCACGAGGTGATCAAATTGATTTTTCCTTTAAAAGAACATATTAACTACGACATTTCACCCGAAAATGAAATTTCAAATAAAAGTGGAACTATAAAAAGAGTAATTCACAGCGTTGTGAAAACAATGTATTCCTTCAAGAATAGGAAAGATATAATTAAAATGATTCCACATTTGAAAGTATTTCACACAGAAATTAACAGATTGTTTCCGAATCAAGCGTTATCTTTATTGAGCACAGGCTTTGATAAAACTGAAATGATTGGAGTGTATAGGTTTTTTGGGAAAAAACTTTTTTATTTTTCTGAGTTCAAAATGTCGATGGATTTTTTTCAACAGGAACTGAAAAATAAATTAGAACTATTAGGCGAAAATCATGTTCTTACAGCTTGTGCTTACGAAAACCTGGGTTGTGTGTGTCACAATAAAGGTGATTTCGAACAGGCCAATGACTACCATCAGCGGGCCCTGAAGATTCGATTAGAACAATTAGGGGAGAACCATATTGACTTAGCTGCGTCTTACAACAACCTGGGTAATGTGTGTTCTGATAAAGGTGATTTGGAACAGGCCAATGATTATCATCAGCGGGCGCTGAAGATTCAATTAGAACAATTAGGAGAGAACAATATTGACGTGGCTAATTCTTACAACAACCTGGGTAATATGTGTTCTGATAAAGGTGACCTGGAACAGGCCAGTGATTATCATCAGCGGGCGCTGAAGATTAAATTAGAACAATTAGGAAAGAACCATATTTACATAGCTAATTCTTACAACAACCTGGGTAATGTGTTTTATCGTAAAGGTGATCTGGAACAGGCTAGTGATTATTATCAGCGGGCACTGAAGATTCAATTAGAACAATTAGGAGAGAAGCATATTGACGTAGCTAAATCTTACAACAACCTGGGTGTTGTGCGTTCTGATAAAGGTGATTTGGAACAGGCCAATGATTACCATAAGCGGGCACTGAAGATTCGATTAGAACAATTAGGAGAGAACAATATTGACGTTGCTACGTCTTACAGCAACCTGGGTGTTGTGTTTTATCGTAAAGGTGATCTGGAGCAGGCCAGTGATTATCATCAGCGGGCGCTGAAGATTCAATTAGAACAATTAGGAGAGAACCATATTGACGTTGCTAATTCTTATAACAACCTGGGTAATGTGTTTTATCGTAAAGGTGATCTGGAACAGGCCAGTGATTATCATCAGCGGGCGCTGAAGATTCAATTAGAACAATTAGGAGAGAACCATATTGACGTAGCTGGCTTAGCTACGTCAGCTGCCAGCTGGGCGCTGTGTGTTTTAATCAAGGCGATCTAGAGAAAGCTGAAGAATATCATCATTGGGCTATGGACATTATATTGCAACGATTTGGTCGGACTTTAATGCAAGAATTTATACAAATTTTTGTAAATTCACTTGAAATACCTCTGGATTAAGAATATAAAGATTTCGGAATCTGCAATAATTTAAAATTCAATGGAATTAATTTACTAATTGTTTGCATTAATTAGAGCCATTGATTATTTTTAAACATCAGGTTTCGAATCATAAAGCTGTCTATATAAATAGAGGCGTCGGGACCCGGGGGTACAGGGCATGCACCCCCCATTAATTTTTCAAATGATTAAAAGTGCCCTTTAACCAGCATATTTAACAATTAACTACCTTTATAGATGTTTTAGGGGCTGTTTACATGAGCCCAGTTACCCGAGATTCAACGAAGCGTGAGAGGACTTTGAGGTATTGAAATAAATTTTTATGACACCAAACAAGCACATGCTATTGTTGTGGTGATTATACGAATGCCAGGATCATGTTATCTGCTCATTTCAATACCTCAAAATCATCTCATGCTTCGTTGAATTTCGGGTAACCGGGCTCATGCAAACAGCCCCTTAGCTGCCCTTTTCTTGCCCAAAAGTGCCCCTTGACCCTTGCACCCACTCCCAACTTTGAGTTGTTTCCTACTCCCTTGTATAATAAATTACTGATTTTGTTCAACCAATTCTGAAGTTATGGATTTATCAAATATCAGCAAATATCAGAATAACTTGCTGTTCACCAGGTTACCTTATTGATATCGCAGCAGTGTCCGAGAAAATTTCGGCGAATGTGATCGCAGAGACGTCGCTTTAAGTCTTAACTATTATTTGAGTTAGTGGTTTGTAAATCCAAAGATTCGTTGGTCACTTTGCCCAGGTATTTTAAATAAATATATTCTCTTCGCCTAATTATAAATTATTTAGGATAAGTTATTTAATTTGAGCTTAATAGTTTGATCGCTGGAAAAAGATGATTTTAATTTCAGGAATACGAACAAGTCATTTAATTTTGTTGATGACGGCAGACTTAGATTAGTCAAAATAAACCCAATCATATATATAACATAATTATATAACCTTCTTCAGAGTATTAGGAGCAGATATATTAGCTAAATATCACCACCAACGCAACACATGGCGTGTGATGAAATTTATGTTTCATGCTTCAGAGTAATTTTCCTCTGTAATGCAAACAGTTTTGTCGTCAGTTTATTTTCTGTTTTATATCGAGACATCGCTCGTTTCTATCTTTTGATACACACAAGTTTGTTAACTTAATATTTTTTTTGTTTTTACGTTTCATTTCATTTGAATGCAATATAGAGGAAAACAGGGAATTCCCCTGTCAATTAGTTGCTTACATGGCAAGTTATTCGAATTCGTTGAGTGTCGTGTAAGAGAAGTTTCCTCGATTTCATCGTCTTTTTCGAACTAAAATGTAACAATTATAATCGCAATATGAAATGAATGGTGAAAACTGCAAATTCGCTTGGTAAGTATTTCGAAACAACCATTATCTTGCACACAACGCCAGCATATAAAGGCAGCAGACCGAATAATCAGCATGATATAAATTTCAGTCAGCTTGATATAAAATATGAATTTTATCATAATTAATCTTTCTTGTTTAGAATATAAGTTAAAAAGTGAAGAATATTTCATCAAGTTGGTGAGTATACTGCATAAACCTGTAGGAATACTGATGTTTTATTAGTTTTGATGCATGATTCTTTGAGATTTGACATTCAAAATCAAACTATCCACCAACCACACAATAGAAAGCGTATGTTGAAATTCATGCTTCAGAATAATTGTCTGTTAATAATTGTTTTGTCTTCTGTCTATTTTCCCTCTTATATCGAGACATTGCTGGTGTTAATGTGTTTCTGTTACCCACAAGTTGATTAAATTCTTATTTGTCACTGTCATTTTTATTGAATGCAATATCAAAAGCAAAAGGGAAATACCTCAACTGTCAATTTATCACACAACCATGGTACTGTTCTTGCCTTCTTGTGTTTGGGCAAAAAAACAAGCAGTTGGAGTAGCAAAAGCTATTGCGAAGGTTTGAGAAACACGATACAGGATTTTAAAGACATTTTATGTCTTTTATTTCATTCGAATGCAATATCAAAAGTGGGGAATTTCCCTTTCAGTTAGTTTCCTGTTTGCATACACAAAAGCTTTCAAGGTAGCATATATAACAAAATTCGTCTCGTTTTCGTATTCAGATGAAATAGACGAATTGAGTCATTGACAATCGCTTCTCAACTTCTGATAATGTAGACCTCGCTTACGAGTTATGTGAATATCTTGGCTGGTAAAGAAACTACGTAAACTTCATCGTGAACAAAAATGAAACATTTGAAATAATATCGAGGTCTGTACTAGTATTGTGTTGATTGTTTTGGTCATGTCTCGATATGTAGACGACAGATCAAATTCTTTGAAAAATATTTTGCAACTCAGATCAGTTTGTCTAAAGTTTTTACTGCCCCCATGATTTTCGTGAAGCGTTTATTTCCGTCCTTATCACGGGATTAAATTATTTTCGGTGCGTGAAATGGGGAATTCAAATATTAACGAGAGCCGGTAATGTTTAAATCTAAGCGGCGGATTTCGTGAATTCTTTTGCGAAATAGCGTGATTACGTGATACAAGCTGCTCCAAAAATGGCTTGATCCCACAGAAAATATCTCAAAAGTGTTTTTTGGACCCTTTCTGACTTTCTATTCATGTTTGATGTTGTCATTTAGTTTGTCGAATTCAATTAGGCATGCTCTCTTTTAGCCTCGGCGTGAACGTGAAATTTTCTTCCTGTTTTTGCGTGACGCGTTATTTCGATTATTTTGGGGCGTGAATGCGTGAATTCGTATGGCTCTTGAGGACCCTTTCAAGGCTAAAAAGCCGTGCTAATTTTTTGTTTATTTTCAAACAAAACACAAAGTAATGCCTGGTCATATAAATAGCGTGTGTTGATAAAAAAAAAAACTAGCGCATATTCCGCACCCTTGTTTGAAGTCGCGGAAAACACTTAGCTTGTCACATGATGGTCGAATTATGTGAGCGAGACGACGCCATCTATATTCAATATTTTCAGAATTTATGGGACATAGTTATTTGTTAGTTGGACAGTTTTGATTACCAGAGAGCAGTATGGGAAGTGTGTACTTGAACTATATTTTAAAACCTAATTATAACTATCATATTTATGGCTTTAAATGAGCGACTAGAACTACAATCCTGGAAAAAAATTGTAGACTTTTTTTTTGCGTCACGTTTCCCCATCCCCCCCCCGTATACAATATTTACGCGAAATATCTCGGCAAATGACTTTATTTCACTCAAAATTGCTCCTCGGGGAAGGGGAAGTGGGGATTATATGGTATGATTTGAGATGCACAAATGATGCCGGATAACGTTTGTTTCAAAACTTGTTATTTGTAGAATGCATGGCTTTAGTGAACATGTAAATTACGTCATTGTAAGAGCAGAGTTATCACATCATTCACTGATTGTGTGAGTGTGAGACGATTTTACTCACTTTGGATCAGTTCATCTCTATTTTTTCGAAACAAATCTTGCTATTACAATTTGTGAGTGGTAGAAACTACAAATTCGCTTGGTATAAGTATTTCAAAACAACCATTATCTTGAACAGAACGCTATAGCTTACAAAGTCAGTAGACCTCATAATCAGCATGAGATAAATCTCATATTATAATCATCTTTCTTGTTTAGAATCTGAGTTAGAAAGTGTATATATCATCAAGTTGGTGAGTATTCTTATTAGAATATTAGTTTTGACGCATGATTCTTTGAGACATGACATGAATTCAGAAGCAACTCATAAAATCAAACTATTCACCACCCACGCAATAGATGGCGTATGTTGAAATTTATCAGTTTCGCTTTTATTCAATATATTTGTATACTGCATTCACTGCTCGGTTCATCGTAATTAATAAGGCGTCATTTTATTCTTTATTATTCCTTACTACCTGATGCATGAGTGCTTTGGTGATTGGCAAAAAATATATATATCCACCTTCACGATATTTTTATACTCGCATAATGGCATTAATCTGTCATTGTCATAAAGTAGGCAGAATGTGTATTTTAATTTTGAATATTTCACCGGCATTTCTCGGGTGTGAGGTCTGATAATCAGAGGTTTTCCATTCGAATCTCAAACACTGTCCGGCTGAGCCCAAACGAAATGTACAGATATACAAGACGCTTGTTTAAGATGCATGTTTGATGGTAACGTTTGTTTCAAAATTTGTTATTTGTGGAACGTGGCTCGAATTTCGGTTACTGTAATTAGTTACTATAACATGATTTTCAAATGGCAGTCAATTTACTAAATTTCGTTACGAGAGGATAAGCTTTGTGTATAAATAAATATATTTGTGGATATAATAGGGCGAAATATTCGTTTCGTTTGGTTGGCGATGACAGATTTAGATTGTCAAGTAAAAACCCAACAATGTCTGCAATATTTTCGTTATTTTACATAGTTCACGAAATTGCGTAAAATGATCGCACGAAATGACGCCTGCGTGTTTTGAGATACACAAATGATGATAACATTTGTTTCAAAACTTGTTATTTGTGGAATGAAAGTCTTTAGTAAACATGTAAATTACGTCATTGTAAGAGCAGAGTTGTCACATCATTCACTGAATTGTGTGAGTGTGAGACGATTTTATTCACTTTGGATCAGTTCATCTCCTCTTTGCTAAATGTAACGCATATCCATTACATGCACTCACATAACATGAAATAAGTGAGTGGTAAAAAGTACAAATTCGCTCGGTAAGTATTTCAAAACAACCATTATCTTGCATACAACAACAAGACCAGTAGACCACGTAATCAGCATGATATAAATTTCATGTTATAATTTATCTTTCTCTTTTAGAATATGAATTAAAAAGTGAAGAATATATCATCAAGTTGGTGAGTACTTCACAAACCTATAAGAATATGTTTTATTAGTTTTCGATTCTTTGAGATATGACATTCAGAAGCAATGTATAAAATCAACTATTCGCCACCCACGCAATAGATGGCGGATAGTTTTGGAAATGAATATTTTATTCACTATATTTGGGTTTCTTGAAAGAACTTATTTACATAGTTCTCAGAGTTAATAAAACC